CTCTGCTCGTCCGTACAACCGCGCGCCTCCACTATCTTTGATGTCATAAATGCGTCGTATTTGTCAGAGAATGTCAGAGTTTGTTGTTGTCCCTGGACCACTCATAGAGCGCCACGTGTTCTCCCTTCACACTCTGAGAATTCTCCTATATATTCCGACGCTCGATCAGATATGTGACAAGTGTCGAGCTATCTTAGAGGTATAGAGTGGTCGAATTCGCGATCACACGAATCTGACCATCTTTCCTCGACCAACACTGCTGAACCTGTTCGTCTTCGTCGTCTCTCCTCTCCTTTATTGTGGGTGTTCATTTCGGTTCGACCGGGACGCTGATCTATTTTATTCGGCTATCCCAACGAACCAGTCCAATATATAATATCCCATATCATCTCTAACTATATCAAAAAAATTCACTTTGAGTTAATTCACTCAAATTATTCCTTTAACAAACACATCCTTAATATTCGGATGCGACTGGATGAATATTACATCGAGAAAGGTTAAGATTGATAAAAACAAGGAAACGAAAAAAAAAACAGTAGATAGAAAAATAAACTATTTTTAGTAGGGCTGTCAATTTTTAAACGAAAATCGAACCGACGAGAAAATAAATTGTACCGTACCGAACCGCTTGTAAAACCGACTATCGGTTACCGAATCACTATCACTACAGTATCGGTTTGAACCCGTAAGAGTTCAGTAAAACTGATACCGAACCGACAAGAGTAAAATAAATTAGAACAAATATTTTTTTTAAATATTAAAGCAAAGATTAGTTGTTTAGTGTTCAAAAATTGAAATAAAGGCTCAACCCTACCTAAATCTCAAAATGACGAGAAAAATACCACTACTCATTGTCCGATTCGCCTTCTAATCGGAACATTGTCGGTTTACCAGTCTCACTCCTTTAGAGACTCCTTCTAAAGAAGATGCTACTGTTACTGTAGTCTATTCTCGGACCACCGTTACTAGATAAGTTAGTTGAAGTTGTATCACAAATTTTATTTCTTGCATGTTAGCAATGTATTGTTTTATTAGTTGCGTTTATCACAAAAACCATAGGCCCCGTTTGTTTTTTAGCTTTTTCATGCCAAAAGAGCTTTTTCATCTATTTTAGTTGTTTGACTTTTTTTAATCAGCTGAAAGAAGTGTTTGGTAAATAGCTGTTACAAATAGGTTTTTGGGATAATCTGCTAATTTAAAAAACGCTGCTTAGAGCAAAGTTTAGATTTAGCTCTTCATTAGGTAAAAAATAAAAAGTCTCTGTTGCCCTTAATAATGTAGAGTCGTCCTTATTACTTTACTAATTAATGAAAAATGCGAACATGAATCTTCAATTTTTTAAGTTTCATTTACTTGCAAATGTAATAGCTTGAGGTGTTGGTGTGTCAGAACTCTCATTATGGATTCATGTGGATCAAAATTTTTTACTTGATTATGAAATTTTGTCATTTTATTATTATTTGTAATTTTTATCATATTTAAATCACTTTAATAAATATTTTTATCATATTTAAATCACTTTAATAAATATTTAAAATATTAATTATTTTATTTCCTCAATGATTATGAATTCAACATAAATAAGAATAATAAAATATGTTGATGCCCTTATAAGTAATTTTACATGTTATCAGCTAATTAAAAAAGCTAATTTTATCAAATATTTTTTTTACAAACTGCTAACACGATCAGTTGGTCAAAAAAACTAATTCAATCTGTTGGTCAAAACAGCTAATACAATCAGCTAACAGCTAACAACTAACAACTGATTACCAAACGGGGCCATAATCTAATTATATTTAAACTAACTTATATGTATTAATTTTTTTTAATCCTTCAATGAATTTGTGAAATTTGTGTGTATATTTAATTGGTAAGAAGTAAAAAAATTACAAAAAATGATGAGAAAAGCAAACACTAGCATTTTTTTTTTATTATTTTTTGTGCTCAAAATCAGTTCGGTATCGGTTTTGCATTCTGAAGTTACCGACATTATCGGTATTGTATCGGTATAGGCTTATCAGTTCGGTAACTAAACCGATACCACCCCTAATTTTTAGTTTGTTATGGTACGAGATAAAATGTATTATTACTACCAAGTCTTCTCAGTCAAGGTCTTCGTTACGTGTACCAGCTTAAAAATTTCTGGTTTGTGTTGCATCGTACCAAAATTTTTGAATAAATCTATCTATATATATATAAACAGATTTATCATTTTTTAAAAATAGAAGGTCAAATTTTTGGTCAATTTCAAACACATTAATTAGTTTCTAATAAAAGCAGTTTTTTTTTTTCATTTAATACTTAACCCTTAAATCACGGTCCGCATAAATTGATTACAACATTAGTTTGTTAATTTGTTAAACAAGCAGCCCAAAAAAAGGGGGTCTGATTTGTTTGGAAAAAATTTGAAATATTCCATCTTATTAAAATTTAGATGTGTCATATTGCTATTAGGATACTTTATATAAACAAATTATCTCTTAATTGAAGGGATTTAGTATTCAAAAATATACATTATCCGATCCTAATTTGAAAGTTTTTTGAGAGTATAATTCAAACAATACAGTAATTCTATGGAGCAATCGGATGGCTCTGTTATGGAGCCATCCATAATCTTATATACTGACACATGTCCAATGTGTATTCAAACTTATCTTTTGGTCAATAGGCTAATAACAAGAAGCGATAACATGTATTAAATTATACTAATATAAACGAACTAAAGGTAATAAAACCTTTTTTCCCGAAATTCACCAAATTGTTAATATTTGAAAATAGTGAAATAATGATATATAATATTTCAGATAAGGATATTATATAAAAAAATTGGGAAGTATCAAATCCCCTATTTATTAACTATCCAAATCACACGTGCTAAATATAATCTATACTTATATTAAAAGCTATACTATTTACTAAATGTAGTATGTAGAATAGTCAACCCTAATTAATGATTTGTTATTTTTATCAAGCATTTAATTAATGTATCTAATATTTTTGATATGCAAATCAAATTAGCATTTAATTAGTTTCTAAAATATTGGGTACGCAATATTAATTTAGGAATATCCATGTAGTTCCTAAAATGTTGGTATGCAATACGTAAAAGAAGATTTTTTAATTTTTTTTAAATATAAAATATTGCAACACTTAAAACTATTCCAGTTAATTTTATTTTATTTTACATATAAAATCTAATCAATATTTAATGCATCTTACAAAATTGGATTTAGTTTAATCCTCCATACAATTGGTTGTACCTTTTTCAGTTGTACTTTTTTTATTTATTTATTTTACACTTTTAAATTAATGAAGCTTTCTCAAAATACCAAATCAAATGCTTTATGAAAGTTTTTTTTGTTTTTGTTTTTTTGTTTGTTTTTTTTTTTTTTTTTTTTTTTACAGTTTTAAATCTATATACACAGCTTTAAAAACTCATCGCATAGATATGGATGAGTTTAAGAAAATTTCATAACCCAACTTATAAAATTTATCTCCACGAGTCAAAAAAATCATATCCCTCATCTATCGTAACAACTTTAAAGGTAAATAAATAAAAGTCTAATTACTACTATAAATCCATTATCTATATAGTAGCTTCAAACATTATTTGTGAATAATATAGAATATTTTAGATGCTTTTATAGATGTTATAAAAATATTTTAAGTATTTTTAATATTTATATATGACACTTAAAAAGAATATTTTACCAAAAAAACATTAAATACACATTGTAAAGTTAATAGAAACAGTCTTCAGTGTTCGTCTTTGATTTTGTCAAAACAAATCTCATAAAATCGGTGAAGGCAAATTTGTACGTAAAGTCTATCTATACTAAAAAAAGGTAGATTCAAAATTCTTTATCTAATTTTTTCTTT